GGGGGAAATAGGTTGTAAGGTTGGAAACTAAAGAAAGACACAGCCTCCCAGAGGAAACTGAAAGGGCTCTCCACAGAGACAAATGGAAGGCCCACTTTTATACAGAAAGTTCCAACCCTGTCCCTGATTGGTCTATTTCTATGCAAATGAGGAATCCAAATCAGCACAGTCTGATTGGACCAAATAGCAGTGGCTTGATTGGCTGGAATTGTGCATCCTGATTGGTCAGTAAGAATAAAATGATATAGGCAACAAGCTGGGTCTGGTACACCAAGTCCTTACATAATCAAGGGGAACTGAAATCAGCCCTACTTCTGAATTTTTCAATTGTATGAGCCAAAAAATTATTCCTTTATTTAAGATAGCTTGAATCAAGCTTTCTGTTCATTACAACTGACATAATTTCACTGGTACCATCTGTTTTTCCTTTTACTATTTTTATTATGCATTATAAAAAAACCACCACTAACATATTGCTTCTCTTCACGTTTGTATAGATTTTAGGAGATTATTGCCTTTTCCCCTGGAGATATAACCTGGAGACAAAAAGTAGTACCGCCTTGTGAAATCTCAAATCCCGGAAGTCAACACTTGAAGACAACCCCCAGGGACAGGGGAGAAAAACAAGTGTCACCAGAGACAGACAAGTGCAGATAAGGACAGCAAGCTGTGGGGAAAAGCCTTTTCAAGCTGCTGACCCGGGCGGTAGGTACCTTTTTTCTCCTGGTGCCCGCTGCCACCACCTCAAAGGGGTGATTTATGATCTACCGCCTGAAGAACTCTTTCCAAATAAACAAGGGTTGTTTTGGGGAGAGGTGCGATGAGTAAGGTTCAAGTATGAACAAGAGTCCTGCCAAAGTCCACAGTCAGGAAAGAAGCCACAATGGAAAGGAAACCCGTGGAACCGCCACCCAGGTCGAGAGGCAGTAGTTCCCCCTTATTTAGGGGAGTAGGCCCTAAGGCCCCAGTGGATGCATGAAACCATGGATAGCACCGAACCCTACACATGCTGTCTTTTTCCTATACATACATATGATACCGTTTAATTTACAAGTTAGGCACAGTAAGAGATTAACAACAATAACTAATAATAAACTAGAATAATTATTACACTATATTGTAATAGAAGTTATTATACTATACTCACCTTTTCACTTATAAGAAGCACTTTGCAGCTTCTCTTTGACATACCAAGTTGTCAGCGTCACTGCTGTTGCGCTTTGGGGCCCTTGTTAAGTAGAGTAAGGGCTTGAACACGAGCACGGCCACCCCAAGCTGGCTGCTAGTGGGTGGGAGGCTTACAGCGTGGCTAACCCTGGACAAAGGGATGATTCACGTCCTGGGCAGGACGAAGGGAGACGGAACGAGATCTCATCAAGCTGCTCAGACCAGCATGCAATTTTAAACTGAGGAATTGTTTATTTCTGGAATTTTCCATTTAATATTTTAGACAGCAGTGGACAGCAGGTAACTGAAATCTTGGGAAGTGAAGCCTCGAATAAGGGGCACTAGTGTAGAAAACATTTCCAGCACTGCAGAAGTCCTCCTTGTTCCCCCCTTAGTCAGCCATGCCCCCAGAGCTAATTATTCAGAGCTCTATTACCATTTATTATCGTTTTGCCTGGTTTGGAGCATCACGTAAATGGCATCATACCATATTTACTATCCTATGGCTGGCATTTTTCATTCAGTATTATGTCTGTGAGATTCACCAGTGTTGCTGTGTATACCATTTTGTTCATCTTTTAAACTGTTTTTGTTTCCAGTTGTATAAATGTACCATTATTTGTCCATTTGATGGCTATCTGAATTGTTTCTGGCTTTTCGCTATTATGAATTAAGTGGCTGAGAACATTCTATACATGCCTTTTAGTAGACACTGCACTAAGTTTTCTTGGGTTTGTACCGAAGAGTGAACTTGCTGGGAGAAGGTCAAGTGTAGCAGTTTTAGTAAATACTGGTTTTCCAGTTTACCTCTTACCAGTTCTAGTTACTTCATATCCTCACCCACACTCAGTATTGTCAACCTTTTAAATTTTAGGCAATCTAGTCAGTGTATAGTAATATCTCATTGTGGTTTTAATTCACATTTCCCTATGGATTAAATTTCTCTAGTGATACTGAATGCCTTTCCACATGCTTATTGACCATTTGGAATTCCTCTTTTGTGAAGGGCCTGTTCAAGTCCCTTTTCCCTAATGATGATGGAGTTCCTTATACATTCTGCATGAGTCTTTTTTTTTTTTTTTTTGAGTATATGTATTGCAATGTTCTTTTCCCAGTCTGTGACTTATCTTTTCACTTTCTCAATCATCTTTAATTAATGACCAGAAGTTCTTAAGTTAAATGGTCTAATTTATCAACCTTTGATGGTTAGTACTTTCTGTCTTAAGAAGTCTTTGCTTACTCCAAGGTTATGAAAATATTATTATTTTTAGAAGCTTTATTGTTTCACCTTCACAATTATGTTTCTAATCCATCTCAAATTAATTTTTGTGAAGGCTGCAAGATACAGGTAAAGTAGATAGTCATTTGCTCCAACACCATTTATTGGAAATATCTTATGTATTTATTGAAAGAAGCTTATATAATTTATTTTCAACCATTCTCTTATAATATATGCACTTAAATAAGTGCATTGCTTTAGCTGCATCCCATGAGTTTTGGTATATTGTATTTCATTTTCATTCAGTTTGAAACTTTCTGTTTTCCCTTGTGATTTCTTCTTTGACTCATGGATTATTTAGAAATGTATCTAAGAGCATAAGGACACTTAGCACAGCTCTGGCAGCTAGCTCAGCCCACAGCCTCATGGGGGATGAGCTGAGGGTGGGTGGAGCAGCTGCTTGCTTTTGTCTGCGCACCCCACTGGGAGCTCTGTGGGTGGGTGAACCATTTCCACAATCAAGAGGTGTGTGGGGAGACACCTTAGGGCAGCATGTCTGATGTACCTTCCTGCCTCAGACAGACAGACAGACAGACACACACACACACACACACACACACACACACACACACACACACACACCATTCTTCTCTGACTCTGAAACATATAAGGAGGAAAGGAAAGCAAGCCAGCCCCTTCTTAGCTGAATGATCAAAGTTAAGTCACTTAACCTCTAAGTCTCAGTGTCCTGATCTTTAAAATGGGGATGACAAGTTTTAGCTCAATGTTGTGCTGAGAGTTAAATGTATGAGTGGGGCTCTCGCTGCGGAGCACTGGATGGCTAAGCATCCAGTAATGGGGTGAGGCAGGGAGAAAACTTGCTTCTATGCCAGATCCTTATACAAAGTGTGGCTTTGGACAGAGCTGGGAGGATCCCTGCCCAGGGCTTGGCAAACAGCTTATGCAGGTCCTACTGCTGGTGGGGGAGGGGTACCCTATGAGCTTCTCCTCTCATACTGGGCTGGGGCTTGGTGCCTAGATGATACCTGTGCCCCAAGGGGGCAATTTTAAGCTGGAAGGTTACCCTTTCCATCTAATGCCCCCAGATGACCATCCCCCATGGGACTCAACCCCCTCCCCAGCTCCCATACCTCCACCTCCCAGGCCTGCTTTGCAGTGAGAGGCATAGAGGATGGGAAACGGTTTAAAAGCAGAAAGGAGAAATTCCAGAGGACCCTGGGAGCCACCATAGTTCTCTCTGTTCTCTCCAGCTGATCCTGAGCTCACCTTGAACCTGTTGAAAGCCAGGCACTGACTCACCCTTGTGTCCCGCACCCTAGGCAGCATCTCTTTGTCTATATCCAGAGTTCCTGCAGCCTCTGTTCTTACCTTCATAGACCCTGAGTGGCAGGGGTGAGCAGGTTAGAGAGCTCCTGGGTCTCTAGCAGAAAGAGTGATTTCTAGGTTGAGAATCATTTCCAGGTAGTTCAATAATTCTTGTTGTGCAAATAGCTTTGTTCCTGGGGCTTTAGTTGAGCCACTGAACATCCTCAGGGAGTCGGGTTGCTCCCTTCTATCAGGATGGATTAGGAACAATGCCCCCAGGATGTCCCCTCCCAGCCCTATTGTGCCCTGCCTCTGTGGGGGGCTGCTGGGGACTCAACTTCACTTCTTCAGAAATCCTGTAATACTCAGGGGTCCTCTTATCACCTGGACTGGAACAAGCTCCTCACCACTTTGTGTAAGGTCCCTGTGAGTGTGGGGGCTGATGTCCTGTTTTGGACATGTTGAGGGTGAGGACTCACCCTGAGGCAGAAGGTAGGGTGCTGCAACACCCCCAGAAACAAGGTTTCATACGGAGCCCTAACCAGTTTTCTCAGTGGTTAGAGCGTCGGCCCACAGACTGAAGGGTCCCAGGTTCGAGTCCAACCAAGGACGCACACCTTGGTTGCAGGTTCGATCCCCTGTCCCAGTCAGGGCGTGTGCAGGAGGAACCAATTTATGTGTCTCTGTCACATCGATGTTTCTCTCTCTCTCTCCCTTCCACTCTCTCTGAAAAGCAATGGAAGAAATATCCTTGAGTGAGGATTGAAAAAAAAAAGAGATTTCACACAAAAGTGGGACCTGGCAGGCAGGAGGAGACTGGTCACCCTTTCCAGGTCTCTGGGGATTTGGACATTGTGGGTTGTCGATGTCTTTGGAAGGAGCTGGGGCTGGACTTTAGGATGGCCTTTGCCACCGTAGAGGGGCACATGCATCCAGACTGCAAGCCATTGCTCATGAGTCAGATTGGCTGGCACTATTTGTCTTTGTCATCCTGAGCGTTTTGTGAAGTTTCATCTGAGCACTCCAGCCACAGCTCAGTTGTTCTGGGGACCCCAGTAAAGGGCCCATTTCCAGCACTGAAGGGGGAGAGGCAGAGGGAGTTAGAGCAAGGCTGCGGAGTCTCTAAGCCGGAGGCTCCTTCCAGTCTGGGGAAGGGGTGTTCTGCCACCAGCTGGCCCTGCACCTCACCCCACTCTCCCTGGCTTGACTCCAGCCTACACTTTCATTGGCAACCAGCAAGTCCACAAAGCCTAGCTGACCCCAGAATCAGAAGCTTCAGGTCAATATGGCCTTGACCTACTCTGTTTAAGATGCCTTAGCATAGTGCTGGTGATACAGCATGCCCTCCACAAATAGTTCTCTAATGAATGGGGAATGGCAAGCACTGGCATTCATGCAACAAACATGACTCTCCCATCTTGGAGCTCCTGATCACAGTGGGACCCCCTCCAGCTGAGGGTTTAAGACACCAGCCTAAAATAACCCCTATCCATCCTGTCCCCTCCCCAGATGACTGAGAGGACCACACCTTTCCAGGCAACCTCTGCCTTTTGGAAGTCTTCGAGATGAGCCCCAGGGACAGGGGCAGGGGCAGGGGCAGGGGCAGGGGCAGTGCACTGGGTGGGGACCTGGGTTTCAGAATAAAGCTGGACTGGGAGAGCCAGTGGGTGTTTAGGGTTCTGCTGCCCCCCGCTGGACAAATCAGGAAACACACCCTACTTTGCAGGAGGAAAAAGAAGGGGGGCAGGGGGGTGGGGGGGAGGTGTTCAAGCACCCCTCCTTGTCCTCACACTTGGTCTCTGGCACTGAGCATCCACACTCTCCCCTTTCTCCCCCTGCAGTTGGGGTCCCTATATTTGGGGTTCTGAGTCTCAAGAAATAGGCTCTTGCCCTAGCCAGTTTGGCTCAATGGTTAGAGCATCTGCGGAATGAGGGTCCTGGGTTCAATTCTGGCCAAGGGCATGTACCTTGGTTGTAGGCTCAATCCCCAGCCCGGGTTGGGGTGAATGCAGGAGGCAACCAGTCGATGTGTCTCTTTCACATTGATGTTTCTTTCTCTCTCTCTCCCTCTTCCACTCTCTCTGAAAAGCAATGGAAAAAATATCCTCAGGTGAAGATTAAAAAAAGAAAGAAAGAAATAGGTTCTGTATCCCCCCCGCTTCAGGTATGCCAAATCCTTCATCCAGAACATAGCCACCCATTTCTGAAGGTCCTTTTGCTAACAAGTATTGTCCTGGGAACATCGGGTCAGTTCCTGACCAATAAAACCATCCATACAGTGTATTAGCGAAGGAAATGGGCTCCCAAGGAGGGGCCTAATAG